CTGTTTTTAAATATGCATATATACAATACATTTAAATTAAATCACATTACATACCTTAAAAACAGGAAAAATACATTTAATTGAGATAAAAAGATTAAGATGGGAAAGAAAAAGAGGAATATGAGAAAGATGATACAGTACTACTTAAATAATTCCTATAGATATACCAAAGATAACCAAATTCAAGGCAAAGATAACCCGATATTTTATTTTGACACCTCATTCTTAGTTCAAACTGCAATTTCATTTGTAACCGCGTGACTGATGTACCTCTCCAAACTATTGACGCAGTACATCTGTTTCTTGATTCATGAACCAAATTAATACATTTTGTTTATCTAACGATTTTGTTGCTGTGAACTCGGAATTAGAAAATGATGATTTTAACATTAAAAGACATTTAAAGACATTTAACGGGTGCATCAAAAGAAAATGATTACACAAAGACGCCTTTGTGTGTAGAGCAGGGCGGTTCTAAAGCCTAACTCCGTCAGAGACATTTTTGAGCGCGCGCTCGAAGCGCTCGAACCTATGCATGCGTACATTGGAAATGATCACGGTGGCTGCAATCAGTTTCATGTTCGCTCGCGCGCGTTTGAGAGTAGGTCTCGCTCCTACTCCAAGGCGCTCACGCAAGAGCTCAGCCAATGAAATCTAGGGATTGAACGCTTCGAGCGCGCAGTCAAAAATTTCACTGACGAGATTAGGCTTAAGTTGCCATTTCGAGTTTCACGCGCAATGCGATTATCAAGCAAGTATTAAATTAAATTTATAGAAGAAATTGAGCCAATGGGTGGCTGTTAGGCCCCTCTAATTCCATTGGTGCAGTCCCATCTGTATTAGTTCTTATACAACATTACTGACAAAATCATCCTCAATTTAGCTTAAAACAAGAAATTAATTAATCTATTCGGAAAATGCTGAAACTTGAATATTATCGAGTTGACGCCGATTTAAAGTTTGGGAAATTTTGAGAGATTTGACCGGAAAAACGGATGAAAATTTTCACTCAGTCAGTTGCTTATCACCGTCAAATCTCTTATAAAGTTTGACTGAATGTCATTCTAAAATAATTCAATATCACGAGTGCTAGCGTCATGGAAACGTCCTATTATAAAACTCTCTTCTAAAACATTTTATGTCTATAACTTTCTAAATTTTCTGAAATAAAATTGTAATCCTTAATTCAAATCTAAAGTTACAAATTAAGTACAAAAATTTTTTCAAAACAAGGTTGTGAGTTGAATTTGTGTATTTCTAGCCTATAACAAGATAGAAAATGCTGCCATCTTGATTTTGCTTGAAACTGCTCTCTTAATGTTTTTGGAAAAGCTTTAATTGCTAACAACACAAAGGAGATCACGAAAACCAACGACGCAGTCGTATTATGCATCTGTTTTGTTTATCCCAACAATTCGCCAAAACTCAACTGTAGCCCAAGCTGAACATGTTCTGTTGCATTTTCAAATAACTTTTATGCACAAATCAACACTCATATTCAACATAAATAACTGTGCGTAGAATGCTAAAGATTGAATACTCACTTGGAGGTCGGCCGTAAACCTCAAGAGTCAACGTATTATCCCATAATGCAGGGCTGTTTTTAATGAATTGAATGTATCTTGCTGATACTGGCTTCTCAAACAGGTTGAACTTGACACCAGCATTGTTTGTGTTTCCAATGAAAACCTTCAAGATGACAAGTTATGATGATTATAAAAGCAAATGCAAAGGAGATATAAGAACGAATAAAATCGCATTATTACTGAGCATGTCATGACGATAATCTACTAGTCATACCAAGAAATCATTACTTTGTTTGTTTCGTAACACAAATATCACGAAAGCAGAGAGGAAGCTTACTTTCTCATTTGAGCTAGATTCTTCTTTGATCGTGATATTTCTTGAACCCCGAGTATACTGCAATTTGAAGTCAGGGAAATAGTTTTTGCCGTACGTTCTGTCACCCTGTGTAGCAATTGCAGTTACCAGCATATCTCGGCCTAAATCAACTTTGAACCAAAGAAACGATTTTTCATTTTTGCTGCATCCCCATGGTCTGTCATTGTTTAAGCGACCATCCTTTGGTTGGTATCTACCATTTCTAAGAAAATCTGTAGTTGCATAAGCGGAGAATCTGTTGTCTGGCAAAGCTCTGTTTTCAGCACCGAATTCATACACAGAATCTGAAGATTAAGTGAATGGAAAATGTTAGTATCATTAGTATCTGGTGTCCCACAGAAAATGCGAAGTGTTTGTAAAGGGTTTGTTGGTGATGCCCTATCAACATCTTTATTAGATCAGATTCACTAATCTTCAAGCTTCATACATTGAGATAAAATATTGCGTTTTATTGGTTGTGGATAAAAAGAAAACACGCCAAAAAGTAACTACATGAACTAAAACCAAATACTAGAAAAAGGTTATCATAAAAATTGCTAAGAAAAAACCAAAACTTTGAGCATTCATACCGTCCAAACAGTTTTTATTTCTAGCCAAAGTGTATATCATTTATGTTAGTCCATTAACATCAATATTTTTGATGAAATTATAAAAATTCTTGTCAGCTTTTCCTGAAAAAGACCTTTTCATGTTAGAGACATGCACAGTATTTTATCATCAGCAAGAATAACACGTAGAAATTTAAGGATGAGTTGTTACCTAAGTTGCAGCCAAGAATCTCAATTCGCATACAGACACTTGAATTGTACGTGTTTGGTTTTATTTTCACGTATCTCGTTTGCAGCCGCACACGGAACCAGTTCACAACAATCGTGTTCTGATCAGAGTTTCCAATGAAAAGCTAAAAAGAAGTGGTAGAAAGTATTAAGACCTGATCGCATTTAGCTTCGACCAAGACAATCTTTTGTGGCTAATAAAGATAAAGGGCCATGATGCTAACAACTAATTCCTAATCCTCGACGTTGAGTAAATGTACAATTGCATTCAATTTCCACACTTTGTTTTTACGAATGCTCAAGCTTGTTTCAAGTGCTGCTAGGAGCACTAGTAAAGTTAATATTTCCTCAGTGCTAACAAAAGCAAATCAAAGCCATAATAGAAAGGGCTCTGAAAATAAATCATGTTTTAACTCACCTTATTCCCAGTATTTTCTTGGTAGGTGACAAGAGAGCTGAGTGTTGTTCCATAGTCAATATAAAAATCTTTCACCCAAGATGCAGAGCTTGGGTTACCTTGAGTTGCAATTCCACTGACAGTCACGATTTTCCCAAAATCTACTTGCAGAAACTGGTTAGTGGTTCCTGAGGCACACCAAACGGATGTTGGATTGTTTAAACGACCTGATACCGCTTCTTGTCCAGAGGATTGAGATGATGATGCCATTGCAAAGCCTGAAGGAAGCGCACTGCCATGCTCGATGCCAAGGCCCTGTCCACAGACTGCAAAAAGGAATACCACATCTCATTTCTATGCGCTAGAGGTACAAGCCAGCAACAAAGCGTAAAATGTTTTTATCTCGTACTCAAATGCTGACGCGATTTGCCTTCAAGCGAAAAACGCATCGATCCGTCCAAACAAAAATGAAATGAAAAGATTTGAGATTGATTTATAGACATCAGTAGTAGCAATCTACCGTGATATGCCACCTTCTTTTGTGAGCATAGAGATCGCAATCGACTATAACAGATTTCATGGCTAAAGAAGTGGCACAGTTGGCATGTCGCTCTTGGGAGGGGGCTGAATAATTCAAAAATTGTAATAAAGCAGCAAATGTTTCAAGTCTTTCTGAAAAATCTAGTGCTTTAGGGGGGGGCGGTATAGACTTTTACTGAAGCCACTTTTTCCTGGGCTAGAGGACTAAAAAGGTGAAAGGCGAAAATAAGATTAAAGTCAAAACGGATAGTTAAAAAAGACTGCAGGAGATTGTGATATAGAGTTTAGGCTTGATATATGTGTCGCAATTAAGTCACGATGAATCTAATGACAGTAAAAAACTTCATCAAACGAGTCTAGAATGATCTAATAAACAACAGAGAGCAATGCCAATTTTTCTGAATAATACTGGGAATGTGAGAAGAGTAGGACATTTCTGGTGATGAGGTATGTCGCTTTTGTTTGTCAGTTCAGGTCTAAGCCTCAAGGTTGGCGAGATAAGGATGTATGTGAAAGCGAACAAGGATGCGCAGCGATAATTAAAATTGATAGTTATTTAACAAATAGGACGAAATCATAGTGAGATCGCATCTCAATAGATGCGGAGTCATATTTCATTCTCTTTTTTCGACGCTTCTAAAATGGGACGTACAAATCAAACCAAATACTTACCATAGAGGCATCCATAGAGTTCGAATCTAGCACACAAAAAAGCGCCATTAGAGTCTGTAGGTCTAAATTCGAGATATCGTGCAGAAAAGGGTCGATTAGGAAACATCACATCTATTTTCTGGTTAGGACCAGTAGCTCCTGTAAATTTCTACAAGAGAAAAACATTATGTAACATGTGTTAAAGTAAATGTAGTCAATCAGAAGAAACAATACAACAAAAAGTTGTTGGAAATATTTATTTGGAGCTGAACTCCAAAATGTAATGTGCAAAAATTAATAATAATTTAATTTAATAGATTGCCAAGCGTTTTTGCAGAATCAAGTTACTGAATATATAATCAAATAATGCTTAACTGAGTTACCTATCATCAAAATTGAAAATGGAAAGAATATCAACACAAAAACAAGAAAATTCTTTACTAGAAAATTGAATGACAAGCTGTAATGGCTCTCTTCATTTTGAAAACCCATTGCTAGTGAGGCTGAGATACAAATACCGAGTTACTTTTCATTGAACAAGAGAGGCTAACAACTTGCTAATATTTCAAATAGTTAGCAACTATAAGATACATTATTCTGGCAAAAAACAAAACTTTTGATAACACAATAATAGAACTGAATTAAAAGTCACTCTGAAGAAACAACTAAGATGCCACAAGACTTTCAGAAGACTTACCATTGCATCATTGTATGTGGTTGTTGTCACATACACATAGTTCAACAGATCAACACTGTACCTGAGATTGAACTCTTTTATGTAATTTGATGGACCTGATTTGTCTCCTTGGATAGTGATACCTGTTATGCTAAATGTATGCTTCAAATCCACTTTCACCCACTGTCCATTTCGTGTTTGGCTGTAATCAGCACACCAACAATCTGTGTTGTCAAGGCGAGCATGATAGCTTCTGCGTGGTTCGTAGTTTGGGATGGAGGATGATGCTGTTATTTGATCATTTGCAATAATTCTTGTCTTCATTCCCAGGGGCTGGCTGCAAACTGGAAAATGATCAAACCATGAACGTAACTCATTGAAGATTACAATACAAAATCTCGACAATTAACATTTTACTATAAAAACGATAAATCACTACAATAAAATACAATTAAGATAGCAAAAAAATGAAACCATTACATGTATTTATACTCAATGTCAAGGAAAACCCAAATAAGAGAAGATAATAACAGAGATAAGGCTAAAGCTACAGCTTCTTTCAAGTTTTGTATTTTTGGTGCGAGCATGAAACTCTCATGAGACATGTGTTTAGTAAAATAATAGTATTTGTTGTTTTCTAAGACAAAAGCGTCTGAGCTAAAGTTACCTGGACTTTGGACTGTTGTTTGGTATAAATACAAGCGTAGATGTTGTTGGTTCATAATCGTTGATTTAGGAAGACATACTTGAGGTAGATGAATCAAAACTAGAAGCTTCTCTTGTGTTGATTTGGACGAGACCTCTAATCAAACAACCAATATTGCAAGTGTATTGCTTACAAATATCACAAGTGCAAATGGTCGGTGCAATTTTGTTTAAAATATTTGAAAAGTTAGGTAGAATTTTTGTCGGGAAGACGATATCATGAAATCCAGCTTCTTTTTGGATTCAAAATTAATGCCAAGATGATGGACAGAGGGATCTAAATTGACAACTAGTGCTGCTTGTTACGCGACAACATGGCATTTTCAAGACCATGGCGAAAATACATCAGTTGTTTTTATCTGCTGTTCAGTCTGTTTGCAATAATAAAATAGTTTCCAATAAGATTAGGAGGATTGCTTTAGTAAAATGAGCTTAAAATAGTGCATTTTTCAGAGAGCTGGAAGCATAAATATTCGTACACTTTCCAGTCCTTCGGCGGCAACCATCGACAGGGGATTCCCACGACACTCCAGCAAAGTACTTTGAGCCTTTGCTAAATATTTTAAGCCTTGGATACAATTTTTTAACACAATAGAAATCAAAGGGGACTTTGGAAACCGCAGCTTGTTAATGAACTTGATAAAAAGAACCACGACGAAAAAAAAATGCATATGGCTGAAACAGTCGACAACTTCTTGTTAAATGTCAGTTAATTAGACAAATCTGGTATTCATACTGACGAGATTGACAAATTTAAGTATTAGACAATTCCATCAAAAGACATATCCATTAGATATACACTACCATTTTTAACCTGGGTTAACGCTAACCTGGGTTGAACCCAGGTTGAACCCGTTTTCGTTTACACTACATTTGCAACAAAGTATAGTGTAAATGCAAAGTTGGGTTGAATCCAGGTTAGATTCGTCACGCATGCGCTTCGTTGTGAAGAACGCTCACTGGTACATGAATCTAGCTGTTTCTGGATGTCTTCGTCCGACCACATTTCGATTAACAACATGACTTTATCGTCGCCCCATAGTTTACCTCTTTCAGCCCTTGTTTCATTCATTTTCAAGATATGCTGCTGAAAATTGAAGGGCCTTTCTGCACGGGCGTTCCAAGACGAATTTGTCTTGACTTTGTGTTTGGCGCCTTTCATGGCTCAAAAGGTGCATGCACGAATTAGATCGTTAACCTGGGTTCAACCCAGGTTTACGTTTAGACTGCATTTCGAAGTTTTCAACCTGGGGTCAACCTAGTTTCAACCCACCTCCAGAGTGGGGTTTGCTTAACCCAGGTTCAACCCGGGTTAGCTGCGTTTATACTACAAAATCTCTAACCCAGGTTAACGTTAACCCAGGTTTAACCCAGGTTAAAGGTTGTAGTAAAAACAGTGCGATTATCGTTTCAATTCTATTTAGAGTCATCTTTAGTATACAATAAAAGGCGAAAAAACAACTACAAATACATTGGTCAAACAAAGGGGATATCAAACCATGAGATAAAGCAGTACGCCAGGGGAGCAGTCAGGACGCAAGAGAAGTCACAAGGAATTATAAACAACCTAAAGAGATAAACAAGGAATAAAGGCACAACAAAGAAAAAAAATGCGGGAAAAGAAAGTTTGAACAAAATCTTAGGAGTAGAGGACTGTTGGAAATTAAGCGAAGGCCTGCGACGATGTATGAGTAGGCTTTCATGAATGAGTAGATCAAAGAAAATATTTGTTTTGGACAGAATAAAAATATCTTCAAAATATGCTACATGCCCAGTTTTACAGATATGGTCATGAATGGAGGAAGGGCTGGGGGCAGGGACGTAAATTGGCAGATATTTTTTTGAGGGGAGGGGGGGGGGTGAAGGGCTCAAAATTTCCGACTGACAAAGGTCAATTCTAATTTTGTATGAGGGCCTAAACTTTAATAGTCTTTTATCAACATAACCTTATATATCGTCTCGTAAATAACTATTCAGCTGTATCATAAAGTTTCTAGATTTCGTAAATTTAGAAGATTGAGCATAAAGAATGTTAGTTTAATTAGTGCATCAAAACATACGTAGTCCAAAAATCAGGGTTTAATTTTTCTCCTTCTACAACTTGCCCATTGCTTCACTATCTTATCTAAATTTACATTGTCCAAAATGTCCTTCTCCCAAGTAGGAATCATGAGGTCGTTTAGTCTTTCACAGGGGCGGCGCCAAGAAATTCAAAGTGGGGGGGGGGTGCTCGAGACTAAAGAACCATCTTTTGAAAAACGCACAAAAACGCTTCACGATATTTTATTCCGATTATTTTACGGGGCACTCATTATGCTAGCGGTACGTTTGAAGAGGCCGGTGGGAGGTTAGTGGTGGCCTTAGGGATATCTGGAAGAAGTGGCTTCCCTGCGAGCGAAGCGAGCAGAAATTTTTTACTTTTTAGATTAGCTTAAACTACATTTCAGAATTCTTCTTGCAGGTATTTTCTTCCAGTCGTTTAAAGCATTTTGTTATTTTAAGGCATGCTCTTATTACGTTTGATTAATTCAAGTCTTAAAATTGAAATCATTACTTTATGAGGTCCCATAGACCTCGGCGTATTCCTTGGAAATTAAGTTACTAAAGGATTTGTTGGATTATTCTTTTCTTTGGATCACACTATCCCCATTATGACGAATGTAGTTGAAAATACTTGCATTTTCATACAAAATATCGTTTTTTCTGTATTGCATCGCCTCTCATTCTTTTTAGGGCTTCCTTTTACCAAATAACTATTTTCTTTTGAACTTATACCTTTCTTATGCTTCTCTTTGAGCTACAGTTCACAAGGTCATTTGAATGAAAACTTCAATTTTCACAAATGGTTCAAATTTTCTCAGATTAACCTACAATGCCTGCCAAAAATCTTGGAACACTGACAACAATTTCCAAGGTCAAAATCAATCATCCCCCTCTTCCCTACAGAACAATGTTGGTTTACTATCAAACGGGTTAGGATTTTAGGAAGCACTTTCTTTTGCGTTTGTTTTATGATATTTCTCTAAATCATCAACATTGTTTTAGGGGGAAGGGGGCGGAAGTAGCAATTTTTTTCATGAAAGGAATGAAAGATATCAAATGCAGCGTAAATTGCTAGGTGTTCGAAGTACTTTTGGCAGGCATTGTAGCTTTCTACCAACATCTTTAAATTTTCCGACTGTCCTCAAATTTTCCGACTTGATGAAAGATAGGGGGGTGTCACACCCCCCCTCACACCCCCCCTACACCCCCCAGTATATACGTGCCTGGCTGGGGATTTTAAGAGAAACAGAAATCAAGTGATCAATGACGTTATTTTCTACGGCCATCAATATTATTTACTTTTTTTTCTGAAAAATCACTCAAACTATCTTGCTAGGCATTGTTATAAGAGAATAAAGTTCTAAATTA